GGGACATGAGTTGTTTGTGAATCGAATGCATGATACCCTGATCGCTTGACCAGCGCGTATTGAAAGGAAATGGGGCCCGTACCTCGGATTCACCGGAAAAGGTGTATGGATGAATATGCAATCCTGTTTCAAATGCTGTGGGAAAATATTGCCTTTTGACACATAGGAGAACCCGATGATATATACAGTTTCATTTTGATGAGGCCCTTGAATATTTTGATGGGAGACCAGAAAGGGAGAGAATTCACGTTGAATTCTTCCTCATGGCAGTGGTCTGATAGGCAAGGCATTATGGCTGCCGTAAAGAAATGCTACAGAATTTAAACTTCAAGCTATGACTTTGCCTTCTGTCCTTCCAAGCGAAATTAAGGCAAGTTTGAGGGGATTTGGTAAAATGCATCGAGCGGAAGCTAATGAAATGGAATTTGAAAAGGCAGGTTGTCTTGATGTTGCACGATCTCACAGTATAGCAAAGAGTAGCATCATGTTAGTTGGAATGTCAAATTCTCCCGCAACGACTGGACGAACAATTGAAATTCTTTGTTTATTTGAAGAGGAGAACGGTAAGACTGATATCCCGTATTCAGAGCGAAATTGTTAGCAAGTACCTCCGAGGATGTTGACGAATATATTTAAATGAAGGATTGGAATTGTACGAAAAATATAATTAAGACGTGACGGGGCACATCACACGTGCTTTTGTGAGCCATTGTTGTCCCTGCGGATGTTGATGATAATAGCGATTTAGAGAGATTGTCCTGCACTCCTAGTCGTCCGTAGGCGCGATGAGATGACTCTCATCAAAACGTTTGAGTTCTGGATAAAGTGCTGTCTCATCCAAGCGTACAGACCGCATCGGACACAGCCACACCGCGTTACTTTCTGCTTATACGAGCTTTAATCGGACAGCGCTTTGTAGCGAAAGAAGGCCACCGTAAGGTACGTAATCTTTTCTCCCAATTAAAGTCAGAGTCGACTGGTTTCCCTGTTTTTGCATAACTTTTAGACTTACGAGAGTGTACAGCCAGCCAGTTTATGCGTTAGAAGCCAAAGTTCGCAGTGGGATGCACTGACGATCAAGGAACCGTCCGAATGTTCCTAAATCCTTAAATCATCGGCCGAAAAATTTAAATATAACCCGTAATGGAAACATTTATTAGCATGGTCTGAACCTCCGGCTTGAGCTGGACCTTTCTACAAAAAATAATGAGGATTCCTAGGAAGTTGAAGAAATATCGACACAATATTTTGTACATTTCAACTCCAAAAAAGTGCTAAACATTCCTCGCATGTAAGCGCCTCCGAGAACATCGAAGTCCAGCTCCCACAACCTATCCTCAACTGCCTCTTCACCATCTCCGGCGCCGCCATCGTCCGTATGCCTCAATTGGGGACCAACGCTGACCTCTACCTCCCGATCTCTCTCCACGAAACCATCAGGATCGTACATCAACTCTCCAGCGGGAAAGTCCCCCGTTAGAAACGATTCCTGCTCAGATCTACAAGCACAGCGGGCCTCAACTTATAGATCACCTGTCGATGCTCTTCCAGGAGATGTGGCGTCAAGGAGAATTCCCACAGGATTTCAAGGACATCACAATCATCCATCTCTACAATCAAAAAGGAACTGCCAACTCTGCGACAACCACAGAGGCATCTAGCTGCTCAGGATCATCGGGAATATCTGCTCTCGCGTTCCCTACAACCGCCTCAACAGTTATCTAGAACGCGGACTCCTGCCGGAAAGTCACTGCGGCTTCCGACTTCGTCGCGAAACGAACGACATGGTTTTCGCCGCCCGCCAACGGAAGGAGAAGTGCTAGGAGATGCTGATCCATCATTACTATATCATCTTGGATCTGAAAAAAACCATCGGCAGGGTGAATCGCGAAGGACTTTGAAAAATCGTGCCACTACATGCATCACACTTTCACGAGGACGACTCAGAACTCACAACAGTGGCAGCGCCGTAAATGTGCAGCCTGACTCTCTGTCCTGAGGAGGACCGAATTGTCCCCTTCGTTGGCAGTCCACCTAGCCAGGACTTTTGACGCTACGTCATCTATTCAAATGCATCAGTGTGGGTCTGAACAAACCGGGCTGTCAGTGCCCGCTGATCCTCAAGTTTACTAGCAGTTATTTTGACGCTCAACCGACCGATCGATTGTTTGATAGGCAACTACTGTTAACCGAAGCAGTTGGTCTTAACACGTCTTACAGGTGTCAGTTTGATTCACTCATTCGTCAAAAATATGCGATTATTCGTTTTTGTTTCTGATGAATAATTATGCCCCAGGAATAATAGAGATGAATAATCATCGACTGTCAACTGAAGAACATGTCTACATCGTGAAAACGTTTTAACAAACAGACGAAAAGAGTGAGACGAACTGCCGATTTTGAGAAAAATTTGATCGAACACTAAAAAGGGCCCGATATCCAGTTTATTCACCACTTTGAATCAACACGTTCGTACAAATGTCTTACAACTGGAAGACCAAAGTCTCTGTGCAACTTTGAAAACAATAGGATCGATGAAGCTGAATTTGCTCGTAGTCTCCGAAAGTCCACAAGACGAGCTTCACAAAAGCTTAGCATCTCTCGAACATCAACCATAAAAAAGTTAAACAGCGCCCAATTGAAACCCGATCGCCCACATTTGCTCCACTCATTGAATGGAGACGCTTGGGATCGTCGTGAAGAACCTTCACAAATCTTTAAGCAATTCTAATAGGAGGATATCGCTCTCTCAGATAAAGTAGTTATAGTGGTGAAGCAAAGTTTAACTTGAACGACTAAGTCAATCAACATGATTTCGCATGCTGGGCAAGTGAACATCCCCTTTTAATTCTCGAGACTGATACCAACACTATCGGTGTCACTATTTGGATTGGGATTTGCGCTTCGAGTTTGATTAGGCTGTTCTTCTTTGAAGGAACTGTAGTTTTCTGCCATATGTGGCCAACTGGCCACATATTCGAGAGATATGGTCTCAGCAAGACACCAGCCCACTCCAGAACTGTTGCGTGCGACTGGCTTGATGAACACTTCTCATACAAATGGATTGGGCGACATGCTTCTATAGGGTATCCCCCTCTTTCATCTGATCTTACACCTCTGGACTTCATTCTTTGGAGTAGGCTTAAAAATTTGATCTACGCCAAAAAGATGAGGACAATTCATTAACTTGTCGCAAGGATGGTGGATTTTTGCACGAAAATCAGCGAAGACTTGTGCCGACTTTTACCCTACTCTGTTCTTCATAAAACTTCTAAATGCATTGAGGAACGCGGTCGACACTTCGAGCACTTACTCTAATTGTGCTCTGCGCGAATTTTGGGCAAGGCTGACTTATATTGCCCCAAAAGAGGACACAAGAACAGAAACCGCCTGCAATACGGGTGGGTATGGGTCAACTTCTAGTGAAATTAGAGTTAGGTCTGGGTTTAAGGTCAGGATTAGGGCTAAGTTAAGGATTAGGTTTACGACTAGACTCAAGGTTGGCGACAGGATAAGTCAGGATTGGGCTTAGGGTTAAGGTAAGGGCTAATGTTAACTGCGGAACTAAGGTTTGGGGTAGGGCCAAGGTTAGGGCAGTGGTTTAGTTTTTCATTTGAGTTATTGTTCGGGTCAGGACATGGGGATATTTGCCCTTTCCGGGATTATGTGCAGGTCCACCTTCATCGCTTGGGCGTAGCGTTCCTATTCCCATATCTTGCTTAGGGGGCCACATAAGTCAGTCTTACCGACTTCTTTTCCATGTACATTCGAGTAAGTAATGCATGACCTGGATATCAATAAATTTTTCGATTGCCCGGTTATTTCTGACTCACTCTGTAGCGATGAACGCGCTGATGTACCGTGGGGATGGATTCCTCAGTGTCGACCTTAATATCTCTTCTCTTTCCGGTGCAACAGTGGATTATCCGAGCCTACCAGCCAGCTGGAGTTAGAATCGGCCGCAGTGGCTGGGGCAGCGTGAAGGTCTAAGTCTACGGCGTGCCACAAACGTTCATTATTTATTAACTCGCGCGGACACCGTGCTAGCGAGGAACGCGTGCCGTGAGCCAGTTGGACTCTGAGTTTGGTCTAGCGCCTCAACAGAGCGGCCGGTTGTGGACACATGCACATGCTTACAAGCCACCCCACAACACGCGATACGCGACACTGCTCCACAGCACACCACTGAACTCTCCCACAGCATTCATACAATCCACTTTGGTATGACTGGCGAAACATCGCATGCCAGAACATGCACATGCCATCTATTTTGGGAGCATGTCCTTTGGCGTATCCCGGCTCATAAAGCGAGGGCCAGGTCATGTGTGACGAGCGTACAAGGGCTGGCAAGCTCTGCACTCCATCCCACCGTCTCTTGGTTAACAGGCTCAGACAGTTGACTGATGAATGGGAGATGCAAGAGAGAGAGGGAGAGAGAGAGAGAGAGAGAGAGAGAGAGAGAGAGAGAGAGGACACCGCGAAACTCGTCCCCACGACAAATCAGTACATTCTTCACTAGGATAAACCTGACGCGATCAAATCTCTCGCGACATGTTAAGAATTGTGGCATGAAGTTCGCCAGCTGACGGGATAACTCGGTCCCCATTTGAGTGCTTAAGAGCGGCTGGAGGAATGAATATTAGGCTATGCGATCACTGGAAAGAGCTTCATTGGCCAATAAACTTCTTGTTATGGCGATCGCAACTCCTTTTTTTAACTGCTGCGTAGTTGCGTCTGTCACGAGCTTACGTAAGATCCAAACCGCCCTTATACAGGCCTGGTACATGTTGTGGAGACCGTGTAGTGTGTGACAGGCGTAGATGGACTGTGGGACAACGGACATGATCTTCGCTGCACGCCAACTGCATTAGGAGTGTCAGGGGGTGCGGACACACATGTACTCTACCTTCGTGGATCTGTCAAAAGCCTTCGACGGGGTGAATCATGAAAGACTGTGGAAGATCATGTAGAAATTCGACTGTCCCGAGCGATTCACTCAGATGGTGCGTCTGCTCCACGATGACATGATGGCGCGAATAGCAGACAATGGAGTTTTCTCAGAGACATTTGCAGTGACCAACGGAGTGAAGCAGGATTGCATCCTCACGCCTACCCTCTTCAGCCTCATGTGTTCTGCCATGCTGATGGACGCCTACCGTGACGAACGACCCGGGATCCGCGTCACCTACAGGATGGGCGACCACCGCCTAAATCATCGGCGGATGCACTTCTATTTGCGCGTATCCACGACCACAGCTCACGAACTTCTCTTCGCCGACGACTGCGCCCTCAATACCACTTTGGAAGGGGACATGCAAAGGAGCATGGATCTCTTCGCCGTCGCCTGCGGGGACTTCGGCCTGGTTATCAAGACGGAGGAGGCAGTGGTCATGCATCAGCCGCCATCCGACGCTGCCTACGTCGCACCCCAAATCAACGTGAACGGCGCCTAACTGCAAGTGGTTGGCAATTTCCCCTACCTGTGCAGTACCCGCGGCGCCAAAATCGATGACGAAGTCGCCCGAAGGACTTCGAAAGCCAGTCAAGCCTTCATTTGCATCCAAAGCACAGTTTGAAATGGTCATTGTCTCCAAGTCAGCACGAAGCTGAAGATATACAAGGCCGTTATTCTACCGACGTTGCTGTATGGGGCAGATACCTGGACGACGTACATGAAGCAGGCACCTAGACTCAACCCCCTCCACCTCAGTTTTCTTCGTAGACTACTGAAGCTGAGGCGGAAGGATTGCATCCCAGACACGGACGTACCGGAGCGGACGGGAATCCTCAGAATCTACGCTATGCTGAGACAACAACAACAACAACAACAACAACTACGCTGGAGCGGCTACCCCGTACGGATGAACGACGAGAGGCAACCCAAACGACTCTTCTATGGTAATGTCGCCATGGGTTCCCGCCGACAAAGAGGCCGGATCGGTCACTACAAGGACACCCTGAAGACCTCACTGAAGCGCCTGCAGATCAACCCGACAAATTGGGAAAACCTTGCCCGGGACAGGCCTACGTGGCAGAGAACAGTGGAGACAGGCGCAGCAATCTTCGAAGCCAACAGCTTCACCGCCGCCAAAGACAAACGCAAGACACACAAATCACAACTGCAGCCGCCGCCTCCCAACACCAACGCCCAATCGCCTCCAATGTGTTCACGATGTCAACGGACATTCCGGGCGCCAAATGGGCTTGTTAGACGCCTCCAGACCAACAGCAGTACCAGGACTGCACCAATCGTCGTCTCTCCGTCTATTCGGCGTCATGCGTATCAAGGACAGCGGAACTGATCGCAGCCCCGACACACCTAGCATATCGTGCACATCCACCATGCCTAGCCAAACCCACACCCCACTGCCCAGTGCGTCCAACGCGCCCCACGTCACCATGCCCGGGACCGACTCCGACACTGCCAATATATCCTACGAATCCGTCGCACAGAGAGTGGTAAACCAGTGCCTGGAGCAACAACCTACACTCGACACATCCGTCCCCACTCCCCTCACTGCTACCGCACATTCAGACACCGTATGGGCCTATCAGTTCAAATGCGCGTCCACGAATACCTGCGGTAGACCACCTTCGTCTGCATCACACCATCACATCCTCCCCCACCAGCATCTCAACGCACATCAACATCACCCACCTCAAACACCTAACCGCCATCTCCCACGCAAGTGGGAAACGTGCGTCTCGGCTCCTTCTAAATGTGGCTCCTTTGCTGCCTGTGTGATCGGCGTCTTAGACGAAGACGGTGCGTCGATGGGTTGAGAACCAGGCTGTCACGGCCCCTTCTTAAGCGATCTGTGACACTCTCATGCATGTGAGGAGAGTGTGTGTGCTTTATGCGTAGTGCCTCTCAGTCGACGACCGTTTAATTACCAAACCTTGAAGGGCGACGGTCCAGGCTAAATGCAGGGCCACATGTCGCCCTTCTAAGTCAAAAGGACTGAAAGCGTGTGCTATGGCGGTATCAGCAAACCATGGCCCTTTCAGCCTGGTATGCGCTGGCAATTCCCTGAGACCCTGTTCCCTGCCGGTAGACGCACTTGCGCTCCGACTGGGTATACAGGTGGTGGAAATGGCTGCCCAGTCATCATCCCCTTCCTTCTGACTCTTGTTGGGGTGTTCTTTTTGTTGGTCAAAAACCTGGTCATTTTTCGTGTGGACCAGGGGTTTCAGACTGGAACGTCAAGGTGGGGGCTCGATCGTGCCATCCACCTACGCCCTCCCCCGCCTCCGGTCTTCTCGGCTCTGTCTTGACACCTGGTCCAGGTTGGGGAAGAGTGAATGCGGTAGATGCTGCGAAAGCCTACTGCCACTTTAAACCAATTCACGCTCTAGTCACTGTCCCTGCCTCACCTTGTTGGGGAGTACACGTTGGACATAATCGGAATCGACGGTCGAACTGTCAGATGGACTGCTTAACTTTGTCAGTCCGACGCCCACCTCCTGTTGACATAACACTGTCCTGCCACGGAACCATGGACCATGTGAGAATGGAGAATTCGGTAGGTGATGTACAAGTCTGCTTTACTATAAGCAAATTTATGCGTAGAACATCGTCGTTAAGCCAACCTTTAGAAACGAAGAGACGAGTCCCACGAAGCAGTCTTGAAGAAGAAGACACGATCGCCGGGACAAGAGCTTTATTAGCCTGACCACCCTTACCTGCTTTTGTCTCTGATGATGGATTCGAGCAGGAATCCGAAACATCAGGCTAATAAAGCTCTTGTCCCGGCGATCGTGTCTTCTTCTTCCAGCCTTTAGACTTCCTACTGTTGGGCAGTAAGTTGGCTATCCAGGAAACGAAGATAACAGTATCCCAACGGTCACAAACTAGTAAATAAGAACAAAGTTGTCAGCAGGCAACAGTGTATGTACTTGTTTTATGCCCTATCCAAGGTTGTGTCAAGTTCTTTAAAATGCGTATTGTAACTGAGTAAAACAGACGGACTTAAATGTCACTAAACTACCTTGCAACAACTGAACTGTCAGATAAGAAACGATCGAGGCGAGCGCGCATAGTGTAGTTGAATGATGAACGCTTAGGATAGACCCATGAGTAGAGTTGCGGTGGACGTGGTGTTTTACAGCGGCGAACGTAAATCCAGAATTCGCAGCTGCTAGACCGAATGTTCCATTCATCCTGCCCTATTTTGGAGAGGCAAACTCCACAGAGGTAGGCAAGCCGACGTGACCTGCTCTTTGTTGGGTGGGTTTCATTGGCCTGAGATCAAACACTTGATTGTTGAATGCTCTGATCTTTAAGAGTAGGAATTTTCCAAAAGGTGAGTTCCATTGTTTTTGGATAATTGCAGTTTCGTCCGCCCATGAGTGCCCGAGACCGAAACATATGTTATTGGGAGAATAAGTGTGTCGAAACTATCCAACGTCTGCAATATTCCTCAACATGACGCGGTTTTTAATGCTGTCAGACGTACTGTAGTGGATATGAGTCGTAACTATGTGCAGGCAATGAGAATATTTAGGAAATCGTTGTGCCTATTAGCGTTGTTCCCCGACATTTCACTTGTTCGTCCTTGTATCTTTTCTTATATTCTGTGTTGGGCCGTCTCCGAAGTTTTTGCGCCATTTTCGGCAGTCTGCTCCGTCTTCTTCTCTCATGTGACTTTCTCCCAGGACTCGTATTTGATTCGTATACATTTCGGGCAGCTTTCAGTGCGTCATTATAACTTTTTGTCCTCTTATCTGATAGAACCTTCCGGCACGTCGCCGCAGAACGGTCGATGCGTCATCCATTAATCTACATCCGTCCATCGTGACCGCCCATGCGAGACTGAATGCACGTTAGCACTGTCAGCCGACTTTGGAAGTTTAATATCATAAGTCATATTTGCTGCGACATTTGTGGTATCTACAGCCAACCTCTGAGAGAAGTTCTTGCTCCGTCTATTATGTCATACTGCTTCGCAGAATGAAGACTGAGATTTCGGCGATTATCGCCAGTTTTGCGACTGCCTTTTCCTTTACAGATGTACATAAAGGGTGATGTTCTTAAATTCCAGCGTGCTTTATCTTCGTCTCCTCATCCTTGGAGCAACAGAGTCAGTTCGTCCAGAAACTTCTATTGGAATCAGTACGGTCCTTAAGACTTTTCAGGTCTGCTTTGCGAGTCAGGCAGTTATTTTGCATCTTTCAGAATCCCTTGTCGTATTTGGTGTCGACAGAAGGTAAGTGATATCGTTTTCACCTGTTCTACTGCCCACGAGACTCATCAAATTTATTTGTCGTTGTCTTCGTAGCGGTGTGCACGCCCACTACTTGGTAGGAAAAGTGAATAACTACCCCGGAACTATATTCTCATAGTGTCTACTTACTTGATTTTGGTAGACTGGCATACACTATGAGTAATCTCTTAGGCCCATTGTCGGCGGCAGCAGCATATTCCTCCATCCCTGTCGGATTGGTGTCGAGTCATCCGAGTTAATCCGTGCTACTTTTTCCTACGTTTCAGTTCCCAAGGGGTTTCGCAGTTCACAGTCGGCCTTGTGCTAGTCACTGACAAGGTCGCTCGAAAACGTCTTTTGTTCTTTCTTTATGCTGCGAACTGCTACTTTAATTAGTGGCTTCGAAATGTTGACCGTGAGTCCTGTTGTCGACATCGTCGGGGAAAGCGTACGTTGTCCTTGGAGAACATTTCCGTCTTCTGTGCTAACTCGTTCCCATAAATTCATATACAATCCAGGAGATGACGCCTAGACCACCTTTTTAAGCCTATGCATTTATAGCTTCGTCTTTCACTCCTGTTAGGTCGGGCATCACCGGAATCTGTCGGCATTCTGCTGATGGACAACAAAATCGGATGATGAGTGTCGGTGAAAGTCTTAGTCCTTCGTTGGATTTCTGTTAGGCATTCATTAGGTCATGGGAAAGCGTCCGCTGCCACAGACATTTGTTCAATTTTTGCTTCTCCAGTTAGCAGCTTCTTGCCACAAATGCCGAGGCCTGGAGTTTCTGCTGACGTCTTACCGTTTCCACTGACTTCCTTGTCTTCAGTCGTTCTTCCATTAATCACCGATCTGATCGCATGAGAGCGTTCGTGTAGGATCCCCGATTAGTTGCCTGTGCGTCTGCCGACCAGCGGAAGCAAACAACGCCATGCCGGACTACGCAGACGTCGTGCGTTTACATAGGCACGCCAAGAGATTACTCTGTGTAGCTGTAGGCTTAACGCTACCCAGTACGCCCTGGGTTGTTGCATAGACCTGTCGACTTCACGCATGCACATCCAGCGATGGCCCAGTACACTAATCAAAGTTCCGGTGACGTTAGTGTGAGGTTCACGTGCCTAGTCTTGTCCAATGACCTCGGACAAGCCAAGGAATTCTGCAGTCCGGGTATGCAAGTAGTCTTTTCCGTCACAAAAGTAATATTTTCAGCTACCCAAACCAAATAAGTAGACATTTCATAGGAATATAATTCAGGCGGTACTTGTGTGCGCGTGCAGCCATCTGCTTCACTGAAGGCAGCGAAGAGGAAGTCAGCCGAAAACCTGGCATGATACAGTCTGTCAAGACATGAGGGTCGTTCTTGGACCTTCAGCATTCGGAGTTCATCTCTGGAGAAGGGAGTGAGTTCAGTTGTCTGTATTTGCTACCACAGACTATTGCATGAGTGAGGAACAAGCAGCGACATCATCGAGACCGGCTGCGTCAGGTATGATCACAGCTATAAAACACCCTCTGCCCCGTGCTTTATCGAGGGGAGCAACCAGTAGCCGTAGGCGTCCGGGGGAATTTGGTTTGGGTATCAATTTTTGATGTTTTTTCAGGTTATTTCTATGGTTTTCATAGATCCCTTAAGACATGGCCTCTAATTCTGGACTTAACACTGTAAATAAGTTCGTACAGCCGTGCCCAAGCATTGTCGAATATATTGACATCGAGCGTAAAGGGTGCACGCCGCATGCCTGCCACTGAGACATCGCGCGCTTCACTGCTTCTTAGATATAAGCTTCGCTAATGAAGTTTGGTATGAAAGTACACAGGTGTGGTAGAGGTACGCTCACCGATCGTGTTACGCTACCCACTCGTCGGAACTCACTGTTAGTAATGTTTCTCTGCATACACAGGCCTGGCTGAACATTCAATGGGTTAGAAGATTCCTGCTCGGGATGTGTGATGCTCAAAACCTACTATGAGTCTTCGTCAGGTGGAGTCTTAATTACTTGTTGAAATCCATGAGCCGCTGATCGTTCCAGATTGTCTGTACACACTTGTGGGACATTGACACCCTTCCATCTTTAGTAGATGCCAGAGTTCAAGGCCATTCGAAAAAAGCACCACGTCCATTTCGACCTTATCACTCATATCATCACAATAGAGTATGTTGAGCAGAGGTGCGAGAACAGGTCCCCGAAGGATTCCGATTTTAACGGAAGCCACCATGGATGTATAAAATTTGTAGTCAATCTTTGTCGCTGTCTGAAGGTAACATTTTTTAACCAGTGGAGAGGAATAACACACGAGCTTGCTGTCGCTGGCGTGGGGCACAGTCAGCTGCCCTGCTAAAGTCCCATTAATTTGTATTATCTTCATATCCGTTATGTAAAAATTTCGTCTGTTTCTTCCGTCGGTTTCGGTTTCGCCTTAAATTATGATGTTTACCATGAAAATAACAGAACTTTCGAAAAAAGCAAGTTGTAACTCTTATAGTATCTTTTTTAAACTCTTACATAAAACGCCCCTCAGGTTCAATACTAGGAATTTTCTCACTTGTAACAGGAAGCCGTCTTTGTAAATCGATATGGCATTGATAAGCTTTCATGTCTCTGGAAGCACACCGCGTTAGGCGATCGTAAGATATGACACGCTGAGGACCAGATAGTTCTTTGTTCAGCTTTCCAAACAGTTACGTCCGGATCTTGCTTGAAGTTGGTGATTTATTTGGATTCAAGTTCTATAAATCCGACTTCACCCTGATCTCATTAAAGTCAAATGATTTAGCTAATGAACTAAACACGGCTTTGAAGGGCTGCTTTGTTGACAGGCCCCCTTCAACTATAAGAACGGACTGGAAGAACTTAGAGATACCTACGTATACCTGCTTCGACGCCAGGTATGTCGTCTCTTCCTTCGTGAATATAAGACCCAGACAATCAGTCAATAATTATCTTCGTAACCATTTTGACCCTCACGAACGTTGGAGGAGAAATACGGTTGGAAGTTTGTGCGAACCTATGTTCTTTATGCTATATGAACGTCAGTCATTTTGTCTGGGTAACTTGACCAAATTTAATAAGCCTGTTTTCTGCCTGATCACTGATGACTTCACTCACATAACCCCTTTTTCCACCGTTCACATACCAAGGGTAATCGTGAAGTCAGCATATGTCCCGTTCTCAATTATTTATGCACCATTGGCTTTCTGCATGCGAAACGACTTTTTACCTGTCATAGCAAACAGTCAGACGGTATAACATGCGGTTTATCTTAATTTACATCATACCAAGTTCTTCTCAGTCAAACAGCTATCCATCAGGATTATTATCATGAAGTTCAGCGTTAACATAACCCGCTGGCGCCAGAAACTAACGGCGTAGCATGTATTGCGGCACAGTCTTATTGTTGATAGGCGCCTTACTTTGTGTCGCAGTAAACAACTTTGAGGAGGTAACATAGGTTTGCAGTGGTCAAGGACGTGAGATCAACTTAAACTACATATGTACAATAATTTTGCTCCGACTAGTAACAGAATTCAGGAAGTTGTGAGAACAGGTTTATTCTGTACACAGGACAGGTCGCCGTAAGTTGGCTGTACGCTTGGGACAGAGATAAGCGCTCGTTCTGGAGAGCGTGAGCTGCGGTGCCTTCTGTGTGTCGCTACCACAAAAGAGGGTGTTGTGGCCTTTTTCTCTGTCCTGTCTGTTCAAAATCACGTCCGCAAGAGCGACGTCCCGTGTGTGTTCAATCAGCGAAACAGATCGCATTGATTGGTTTTGAGAGCACGCGAGGGTAGTAGCGAATTATCGACCAGGAGTGTGGTGTGGACGGGACTGCAGATCGAGGGTTAGCGAGCGCAGTCGTGGCACGTATACAATAGAAGGAGGGTACAGAGAAAAGGCTGTTACAGGTTCTTATGGGGTGTAGGGGTGTCAACGGTGGGTTTACGTGATGATCGTAGTGGTCGCTGACTTGCTTGCAGATGAGGTTACGCCTAGCATCCATTTCCTGGCACCCAACTCTCACCTGTGACTCCTCGTAGCTGGGCTCTGCTCAGCGGCCTCACTCCGGGAAACCACCTCGACTGGCGTGCTAAACCAGGTGAGGGCGGTTACTCCCGGTACGCGTTGTGCCACGTGCACAGGTAAATTGCGGACTCCGCTGGATGGTTGGTCGGATGGAACACCGCGTCGGCACCGTCGTGAAGAGGCTCCATCTGGTACGTCGCTGGTCAGCCGGTGGGATGGATCTTCGAATCGGCATTCCCGAAAAGCGCCCATCTGGTGCACCGTAGGAGACCGCGGGCTTACGGCGATGTAGTAAGTCATTGGCAAATTCGAGTCGTTATTCCACTGCCAAAAAATCTCGTGGCCCACAGTGGAGTTCGACCGCGCCGGCACATCAAGCCCTATTTAGGGACGAGCACTGCTTCTCTTTGGAGGGGGCCTGGAAAAGCTGGCCTAAAGATTGCTGGAGAGGCACGTCGTCTGCAGGCTGACCGTGTTCGCAGACGTAGAACTCACGGTCGAAACAACTGAAATCGAAACAACAACAACAACAACAACAACAACAACAACAACAACAACAACAACAACAACAACACTACTCGCTCTCCTCATCCTACCTCTTTTTCCTCTTCCTCTGCCTATTCTTCTGCCTATTCTTCTCCTTCGCCATCTTCTTCTCCACCTCCTTTCCGCCGCTCAACTCGTCGCCAGACTGACAGGGTGAGTCCGCTCACTCTGGCAGCCTGGAATGTTCGTTCCCTTTTAGACAATCCGAGGTCCAACCAACCGGAACGGAGGAAGGCGCTAGTGGCCCGGGAACTGGCGCGCTACAAAGTGGACATTGTCGCACTCAGCCAGACTCGATTCTCCGATCAAGGCCAACTGAAGGAGGTGGGTGCCGGCTACACCTTCTTCGGGAGCGGTCGCCCCAGGCCAGAGCGACGAGACGCGGAACGACACCGTGAGACGACTGCCCAGTTTGCCGCAGGGCATCAACGATCGCCTGATGAGCCGCCGTCTGCCTCTCCGGGGTGGGGGCAAATTCGCCATCATCATCAGCACCTACGCTCCGCCGATGACCAGCCCCGACGCCGCCAGAGACAAATTATACGAGGACCTGCACGCCCTCTTGGCGACTGTGTCGAAGGCGGACAAGTTGATTGTCCTTGGTGACTTCAACGCCCGCGTCGGCACAACCATGCTGCCTGGAGAGGAGTGCTTGGTCCCCATGGTCTCCGCGGCTCAAACGACAACGGCCTGCTCCCCCTCCGCACCTGCGCAGAACACCGCCTCATCCTGACGAACATGTTCTTCTGTCTGCCGGAGCGAAAGAAGGCCACCTGGAGGCATCCTCTGTCGCGTCAGTGGCACCTGCTGGACTATGTCCTCGTCCGGAGGCGAGATCAGCGGGACGTGCTGGTGACGAAGGCGATCGCGGGTACGGACGGGTGGACCGACCATCGCCTCGTCATCTCGAAGATGCGTATTCGCCTACAGCCTCGCAGGAGACCACAAGGTAAACGACCCCCAGGTAAGCTGAATATTGCCTTGTTGTCTTTGCCCGCTCACCATCTCCATTTCAGCAATGAGCTAACTCAACGGCTAGACAACCTTCATATCGCTGCGGCCGCTGCCGTGAACGCCTCCGTGGAGAACCGCTGGTGTCAACTGCGAGAAATGGCCCAGTCGACGACGCTAGCCGTCCTCGGTCGCGCACGCCGCCAACACCAGGACTGGTTTGACGACAACGACGCCACCATCAGTAATCTGCTCGCCGACAACAACCGCCTACACAAAGCCTACGTAGACGACCCCACTGACGACAATAAAACTGCTTTCTACCGCAGTCGCCGCCACCTTCAGCAACGACTGCGCGAGTTGCAGAACGCCTGGACTTCTTGCAAAGCTGAGGAGATCCAAGGCTGCGCGGATCGCAACGAATGGAAGAACTTCTCGGCGATTAAAGCGGTCTGCGGTCCGCCGACAAAGGGCACTGCTCCTCTCTTCAGCGCCGACGGCAGTACCCTCCTGACTGAGAAGTCACAAATTCTACAGAGATGGGGCGAACATTTCCTAGGCGACCTTAACCGCCCCTCCGCCATCTCCGACGCCGCCATCGCCCGTTTGCCTCGAGTGGAAACCAACGTGAACCTCGACCTCCCGCCATCTCTCCAGGAAACCATCAGGACCGTGCAACAGCTCTCCAGCTGGAAAGCAGCCGGATGGGACGCAATCCCTGCTGAGGTCTACAAGCACGGAAATCCCCAACTAATGGATCACCTGACTGCGTTCTTCCAGGAGATGTGGTGTCAAGCTGAAGTCCCGCAAGATTTCAAAGACGTAACCATCGTGCATCTCTACAAGCAAAAAGGGAACCGCAAAGTCTGCGACAATCACCGCGGCATCTCCTTGTTTAAAATCGCCTGGAAGATCCTCCCTCGCATCCTCCTCAACCGTCTCAATAACCATCTGGAACAGGGCCTTCTGACGGAAAGCCAGTGCGGCTTTCGTCGGCATCGTGGGACCACGGATATGATCTTCGTCGCCCGTCAACTTCAGGAGAAGTGCCGGAAGATACGGACCCACCTGTACTCTACCTTCGTGAACCTGACGAAAGCCTTTGACACGATGAATCGTGAAGGACTGTGGAAGATCATGCAGAAATTCGGCTGTCCGGAGCGATTCATCCGGATGGTGCGTAAGCTGCACGACGGTATGATGGCGCGAGTTACGGACAACAGAGCTGCCTCAGAGGCATTCGCAGTGACCAAAGGAGTGAAGCAGGGATGCGTGCTGGCGCGTAACCTCTTCAGCCTTATGTTCTCTGCCATGCTGATGGACGCCTACCATGATGAACGCCCCGGGATCCGCATCGTCTACAGGACGGACGGTCACCTTCTGAATCAACGACGGATGCACTTCCAATCGCGCGTATCCACAACCACCGTTCACGAACTTCCCTTCGCCGACGACTGCGCCCTGAATACCACCTCGGAAGAGGAGATGCGACGGAGCATGGACCTCTTCTCTTCCGCCTACGAGAACTTCGGTCTGGTCATCAGCACGCAGAAGACGGTGTTCATGCATCAACTGCCACCCAACACAGCCAATCCTCCCAACGCGCCGCAAATCAGTATAAACGGAACCCATCTACAAATGGTGGAGAACTTCCCGTACCTGGGCAGTACCCTCTCCTGCAACACCAAAATCGATGACGAAGTCGCCAACAGGATCTCGAAAGCCAGTCCAGCCGTCGGCCGCCTCCAAAGCACAGTTTGAAATCGTCATGGTCTCCAGATGAGCATGAAGCTGAAGAGGTACAAGGCCGTCATCCTGCCGACGCTGCAGTACGCAGCGGAGACTTGGAAGTGTACACAAAGCAGGCACGTCGACTGAACCACTTTCACCTCAGTTGTCTCCGTCGCATCCATAGGCTGAGCTGGCAGGAAGGAATCCCCAAACACTGTTGTGCTGGAACGGACGGGAATCCACAGCATCTACACCATGCTGAGACAAATGCAGCTGCGCTGGAGCGGCCACCTAGTGCGCATTGACTCTTCTACGGAGACGTCGAGACGGGCTGTCGCCGCCTATGAGGCCGAATTCGTCGACACAAGTATACTCTGAAGTCCTCCCTGAAGCGTCCGCAAATTAATCCGGCCAACTTGGGAAAGCTCGCCGTCGACGACCGACAGTAAAGATGATGACAGGATGACAGTAAAGACAGGCGCTGCGATCTATGAGGGCAACCGAATCGCCGCTGCCAAAGTGAAACGCGAAGCCCGCAAATCACAGTTACGCCCCGTCTGCAACGCCGACGCCCAACCGCTTCCAACGTGTCCTCGGTGTCAACGGACATTCCGGGCAAGACTTGGACTCATTGAACACCTTCGGACCAATGCACCTCCCATACCGCACCAACCGCCGTCCCTCCGTCCTCCTCTTCCTCTTCCTCTCTGCCGCCACCTAACTCCGACAATTCTTCTGAACTACCACTTCCATCCTCCTCCTCCTCCTCCTCTT